GTAACAGTTTGAAAGAGGATCATGTTTCTCCACCCACTGCTGGGAACCAAACGGATCAATTCGAGGCCCCAATGCATGAGCCACCAGAAGCTAGATTGCCGGAGGTGCCCGAAGTGGTATCCAGTGATCAGCCAAGGGGGCACTCCGATGAGATGAAGGCCAAGCCATCCAATTCGCAAGGGTCCGATCAACCGGAAGGACCAACTAGCACTGAGGTAGACCGGACCAAGCCAGATCACTTTCCGAAGCCACGTGCACCAAGTTCATCCGAGACTAGTGCCAGCCAACAGGGGTTTCGTTTCCAGAGCCTTCCAAAATGGGAACAACAGACGATATTGAGAATGCACAAGAGCTCGGGACACCCTTCGAACGACCGCCTGGCAAAAGCTCTTCAGGTGAACGGAGCCCGACCTGAGGTTGTACAGGCAGCCCTGGAGATCCGGTGTGCAACATGTTCAGCCACGTCTCCCCCCAAACATGCTTGACCATCATCCCTGAAATCAATGTTGGACTTCAATCACAAGTTCTACCTGGATGGGATAACATGGACCAACAAAATGAACAAGACCTTCCATTTCTATCACATACTTGGTGCAGGAACCAACTATCATGTCGCAATTGCTTCACCATCACGAACCACCGAAGATCTCATCAAATTGATCAATCAACATTGGATAAGTTGGGCAGGACCACCCACGGAAATCACAGTGGATTCAGCAACAGAGATGAACAGCCAAGAATTTTCGCAGTTTCTCCAGAGGTTTTGCATCAAAAGCACAACCACCGTTCCCGAGGCACACTGGCAGAGCGGACGCATCGAGCGTCACGGTGGATTCTTGCAGTGCATGCTGGAGAAGGTTGATTTTGAACACCCGATCAGTGATTATGGGTCCCTTCAAATGGCTTTGATCCAATGCACTCATGCAAAGAATGCACTCAGCATCCGTCATGGATATGCCCCAGAAGTCATAGTGTTTGGTAAGCACTCGAGAATTCCTGGATCCATACTAAGCGATGAATCCATCCCAGCCCATGAGCTCGCCAGCAGTGAAAACCATTCACTGTCCAGCCATGTCCAGCCAAGAATTTCGACGCATGTTGTCAGTCAGAGAAGCCGCACGGAAAGCCTACCACATAGCTGACAACCATGAAATTCTTCGACGAGCTGCCTTGCGAAGAGCCTGTCCCTCACGTGGTCAATTTTCCAAGGGCGAATGGGTCATGACATGGAGGGAAAACCCCCTTAAGCAACTCAGATGGCAACGTCCCCATAGAGTAGTGATACAAGATGAAAATCATACAGTGTGGAGCACATCGTGTGGTCATCTATATCGTAGTGCCCCTGAAAACACTCGACTGGCATTCCCAGAAGAAGGATTGCCGGAGGGACCCGAACTGCCAGATGATGTAACCCCACTTATCCAACAAATTCACCGGATGCAAAATAACCCCAGTAACCCTGAAATTCCAAATGACTTTCCACGAGCCTCTCAAGACCAAGACCCTTACAACATTCCAGATGAACCTGATGAGATAAATCCCAATAATGATAACCTCAATCCTACTTCGATCCCAGAGTCAATGTCAAATGATAGCCAAGATGAATCAATTCCACAGCCAGACCAAGAACCAGAAGGTGTATCACATGAGTCATCTCAAGCTGATGGCCCTGATCAGACCACAGAGGAAAATGACGGTCACCAGGCCACTGGAGACCCCGAGCTAGTTCAGCTGACGTGTCACGAGATTGCAAATGCTCTGACATGTGAAACGCCAGAACACACAGCTTGGAGGTATGAGTTCGAGATTTCCCAACCACCTGGAATGGGTCCAAATGAACCCAGTGCTCATGGATCATGCTGGCAACTTCTGCCAAGAAACAACACACAGAAGTGAAACTATCGGCATTATCACCATCAGAAATCAAGGAGTTTGAACAAGCAAAAGATGCCGAGATTCAGAATTGGATAAAGACCAGCACGATTAGCACGATTCTCCGCAATCAGATTCCAGAAGAACAAACTAGTAATAAGGTGTCGCTGGATCCTAACTTGGAAACCCGTTGACAACGTAGGTGGTAATGAGGAGTCCTCTAAATCCGTCAAAAGTCACAAAGCCAAAGCTCGCCTAGTAGTACTAGGATACTTAGACCCCCGCATTGAAGAGATCCCCAGAGATAGTCCGACCCTGAATAAGACATCTCGCATGATTGCCTTACAGGTAATTTCATCTCGCATGTGGAAATTAAGATCCTTTGATATTAAGGCAGCTTTTCTCCAAGGTCAACCGCAAGCTGATAGGGTAATAGCCGTAGACCCTGTTCCAGAGCTCAGAAAGGCACTATCCATGAAACCCCAAGAAATTTGCCGGCTCAACAAAAGTGCGTATGGCCTGATAGATGCACCATACCTGTGGTACTGTGCCTTGGTATCCGAGCTCCTGCGTTTGGGCTTCGAAACGTCGCCCTTTGATCCATGCTGTTTTGTGCTCCGATCACCTCCTTCTTCAACCGGCCAGCCTGGCAAACTTGAGGGAATCTTGGGAGTTCATGTTGACGATGGTATCGGGGGAGGCAGTGAAGTGTTTAAAGCCAAGATTCAAGAACTTGAAAAGACATTTGCCTTTGTATCCCACAAAATATCAGCTTTCACTTTCACCGGAATCGAAGTAACCCAACACAGTGACTACAGTATAACCCTCAGTCAATCATCCTACGTGAAGAAATCAATCCAATTTCCATTGAATGCAATCGTAAAAGCCAAAATGAACTTCCCGTAACTGAACCAGAAAGACTTGCACTCAGGGGAGTGATAGGAAGCCTCCAATATGCTGCAATCAACACTCGACCAGACCTTTCCAGCAAGTTATCATTTTTGCAATCAGCTATCAACTCAGCAACGATCGAGACCTTGATGGAAGCAAATAAGGTACTTCATGAAGCCAAACGCCACCACGACGTAACCATTACAATCAAATCAATTCCTCACCAAGATTTTCGACTAATGGCGTTTTCAGACGCATCATTCTCATCCACCAAGAAACCAGATTCACATGCAGGCTCTATCATCGTTGGAACACACCAGGACATCAGCCAAGGACACCATTGTTCAATCAGCCCGTTGACATGGGGCTGCCGGAAGATTCAGAAGGTGGTGACCAGCACCTTGTCAGCGGAGACAGTGGCCTTGGCTTCAACTCTGGACCAATTGGCTGGCTGAGACTCTTCTGGAGTTGGTTTCATGATCCAAATCCGACTGGAGAAAACCTGAGGAGGCACTCCCCAAACTGCGTCCAGCCATCACTGTTCCAACCTTGGTATCTTCAGAGGATGTAGCCATTACTGACTGTAAAAGTCTATATGACCTTATTACAAGGACCGCTCCACCCAGTTGTTCAGAGTTTAGGGTCCAACTCATGACACGTTCGATCAAAGAGGCACTAAGGGAGGGTACTAAGCTGAGATGGGTGCCCAGCGGGGCCCAACTAGCAGACAGCCTAACAAAAGCCATGGAATCCCATTTTCTCCGTGAAACACTGAAATATGGTTTCCATCGCTTAAGTGATGAAAGTGCTACCTTAAAGGAACGAGCAAAATCCAAAGACCGACTGAAATGGTTGAAATCTCAAAATGCACTTGATGAGCCTCAGAAACCAGCACAAATTTTCCAACTCAATAAAAAGACTTTTTTGGGAGTGTGATTCCAATTTGTGCAGACCACTTGAAGCCATCAACCATTGCCACAGGTCTCTTCAACCATGATCTCACGATCACTTCCGCAGGTGTCACGGCTAGGAGCTAGGTGTGGGCGGATAGAGGGCATTCACCTTGGTGCCATAGCGTCGGTGTCTTGCGACCGGGTTCGCTTGGAAGTTGGAAGAAGGACGAGGCCGTCCGAAGTTCCATAGGTGTATCTGTGGATCAATCAGTGCTGCAGCGAAGGGAAAACAGACAGGTGTCTGCGTGCCTGGAGGTTGGAGATTGGAACGGTCAGGGTATCATCTTTTACTCCATCAGGGTGCTTGGATTCTGTCTTAGAAGTTGGAAGGGGGTCCCTACCATTCAAAATACGTGTGTATATATATATATGTATATATTATATATATATATATATCATGGTGTCATATTTGAGATTTCCACTCGAAAGTGGACCTGGTAAATTATTTTACATGAAATTGGTGGTCCTCAAAGATGCGTGCACCCAAAGCCTAGGCAAAATGATGTTAAAGACCATTATCAGATACAAAGATTGGACTTGAAAAGTTGAGCAAAGCTGAAAGCGGTGATATATAATTTTATTTCTATCACATAAACGCGCTTCCTGTTATTTCATTGTTTTCCAGCTTTGCTTGGATGCTGTCCATTCCTGCAGGGCATTTTTCAGTTGGTGAACTTCGCGAATATAGTTTTTATTAGTCATGCCCGTGACTGCCAAGATATTCCAGCTGACTTACCTTTGAAACCAATAATATTGTCAGTAGAGTGGTTCTTCCAAAAACAGGTTTTCATTGATTAGGCCGAGGGACCGTTACTTTTGAAAGATACGTTTTTTGATGTTCTGCTTCTTGCAGGGCTAGTCCTGCGTATTTTTTTTGAACTGACATCAACAACGCGCACACAGACATTATGACATGGAATGACATCAGTGCAAACAACTATATTTTCGTAAGAAGGCTTTGTGCATCTGATCTTCGGCCACGACTGGAGTGTGGACATGCACTGGTGATGGGCTCTTAAGCCTTTCTTGGATCATTATTGCTTTCATATGTGAGCACTGTGGACTCTAAAATTGTATCTGTAGAGTCAAGAAAACAAAACCAGCAGAGATGCTGGTTGTACAGCACAACAGCTTCAACATTGCTCTCAAGAATCCTGACATTGTGCATCCATGTTTTCTCAAAGTTGCTTTCAATGAACATGAATCTTGACATCGTGCATCCACGTGCAACAGTTTTTCCAGGCTATCTACAGTACTCCCCAACATTGGCCATCCTTCCATCCCATGGCGAGATGTGCACAGGTGGCCAAACTGGCAAAGTTGGCCGCCACGGGACCTGCGGCTTCCGGCCAGGCAGGTCTCCAGCCGTCCATCCAACGCTGCCTGGGGCGGCTGCCGCAGCTGCAGGGTAGCGACGTGGTGGATCTCACCCGGAGTCTGGCGAGGCTTCGCTGGACGGATGAGGCAACCTGGAAGGACATCGGCAGCGTAGTGACGCAGAAAGTGGAGGAGATGAAGGTGGCCGAACTGGTGAAGGTGGCCGGCGCATTTTCTGTGGCCAGCCAGCCTGATACGGAGATGTTGAAGGCGATGATGGGAAGAGTCAAGGCAGCCCCGCGCGGTTTGAAATCCTGGTCGTGGGGGGATTTTATTGTCTCACTGCAGAGGGCAGCAGTAAAACCGGACAAGGAACTGCTGAAGGCTGCAGCTGATGCGATCTTGAAAGACCTAGACTCTTTCAGGAAGATTAAGACGCCTTACATCATGGGATTTGTTGATGCGAGCCTCAGAGCTGGTTTCTTTCATCAAGGGATGTTCCATGTGCTGTCAGAGGTCGTGATGGAGCGTTTGGAGAGCCTGAGCCCCTATGAGCTGTCGAAGGTTGCGCTGACTTGGGGGCAAGCAAATTACAAAGATGATGCCCTGGTGCAATCCTTGTGCAAGGCAATCCATACCAATCTTCCGGCCTTTCCAAAGAATAGGATTTCATATACCATTCATGGCCTTTGCTTGTTGGATTGCAAAGACAAGCAGCTCCTGTTGGAATTGGCTTCTGCTTGGGCGGCCAAAGGTCCAGAACCCATCCAAGTGCCGAGTGTCATCTGTGGGTTGGCAAGATTGGGAGCTCTGGATCCTGCACTGTGCAATCAAATCGCGGCATGTAGCCTGCACTGTGTGCCTCATTTCAATGCCAAGAGTGTGGCTGCAATACTGCTAGCTTGTGCTCAGTCTGGATGTACACATACTGACTTCCTTGACTCACTCGGCAAGGCGGCCAGCCTGAAAATCTCCGAATTTTCCACACAAGACCTCTGCGCTGCTTCTTTTGCGGGTGCTAAGCTTTCACTTGCGCCGATTCTTGGAGTTTGCATCCCAGGAGCTGCTTTGAAACGTGTGTCAGACTTCCGGGCTGACCAGTTAGCCTTAATGATGCACGCGGTGTCGAGGCTGTCGGACAGTCCTTGTGAATACTTGCAGGTGCTTGAGCATGCCATCTTGCCGCATGTTCCAACTCTGACGCCTGTTGACCTGAGATATATTTCAATGGCTTGGACACAGGCTCGTGTTTCGACTGAGAAATTGAGGGAAGCATATGCTGCACGCACAATCGATATGATTGATGAATTGGATCCTGCCACCATCAGTCACATTACCTGGGCTCATTCCAAATTGCAGGTCAGCAATGTGGACTTGTTCAAAGCCTTGGGTGTGCGATGTGCAGCTAGCATCTCTTCCTTTAATCCATCCCGCCTTGGATGCATTGCATCGGCATTTGTCGACGCAGGAGTCCATGATGAAGTGCCCTTGATCAGCATTGCCAGGCAAGCCTTGAGGTATTTGGGGCAGATGCACCCTATTCCGGCTTCCCATTTGGCACGTGCCTTCATCCAAGCTGACTTGGAGTCGTCGGAAATCACAGCGCTGTTGGAGAGCCTAGCTTCAGTTGCACGTCAGCAAGAATGGACGCGCTTGAGCCCCAGCCATTTTGAGCAGACTGATTTCCAGAAACAGTGCGCCCAGACCGTTCAAGACTTCCTTCCGTCCATCCTGGTGAACCAACGTCATTAGAGGGGACAATTGCTCAGCCTGGTGCTGCCGCACTGCGACGGATCTCACCTGAACTTGGAAGTGGATCCCCTGGACCTCCAGCTTTGCCGGTTGGACCGGGCAGCGCGCACTCGGCGCGATCAGTTCTTGGAGGACCTGGGTGTGCAGGTGTTGAGATTGAAGGTCAGGGACCAAGATGATTTGAGGTACCACCTGCTGCAGATCTTTGGACATCCCGCAGATCCCAGCGTGGATGACAGTCCGGAAGAGCTGCCAGCATCGGAGGTGGGGCCTCTGGATGAGGAGGCAGTGGCGATGTGTGGACATGTGTGGAATGAGATGGAACCCGGAAGAGTGCAGCATGAAAGCTTGCTGTAGACGATTTGACTTTTTGAAAATCTACAAGAAGGATTCCAGAGACCATTTGAGCGGCTGGCAGTGGCTGGCAGGAAACGGAACATGTTTGAACTTTGCCAATCAACGCAGCACGCGTTTTTCTTGTTTCACAGGTTCTTTAGATCATTTCGTAATTTAGTGTTTCAGTGAAGTCAGGATGGTCACTGAATCCCTACTAGTGACTAGCCAATAGGGCTATCTTGGGGCTTGGGCTTTGTGGCCACCATCGGAAGGGGTGGGCTGTGGCGGGGTAGGTCATGGCTGCAAAAAAAATCCTAAGGGCCGCAAGAGCTGATTTGAGTGCTGATCTTCGCACTGCCGATGTTTGGAAATCATTGTGATTTGCAGGGCATGAAATGCTACTGTAGCTCCCTGAGAGACTTAGAAACCGGTGCCTTTTTTTGCATTCAACCATCCCATTTTGGCATTTTGTTGACTATACAACTATACAATGCAATTCACCTAATTTATTATCATTTGGGGCCATACAATCCCGTACCCACCTGAAGATATTGCAATAAAAAGACAGTGAACTGTCAACATAATGTGAAAAATTGGGTTTTGACCTTGATCTTCATTGTTTCGTTCCTGCCTCTACCACAGCCTCACTTTATGAGGCCATGGTGGCGTGCATGTGTGCAGGACTTGGCTGGGGTGTTGGGGGCAGTATCAAACTAACACGTATGCACAGTGTAAACACCCTCAAACATCTCAAAATGTTGAATCGAAATCAAACATGAGCATTTCTACTTTCTAGATTTGAGAGTGTTCCTATACTCAATAGTTGAACAACTCAAAAGTGGACCTGGCAAATGATTTTAGATGAAATTGGTGGTCTTCAAAGATGTGTGTACTCAAAGCCTAGTCAAAATTATGTGAAAGACGATTATCAGATACAAAGATTGGACTTGCAAAGCTGAAAGCGGTGATAGATCTACTGGTATTTTTTTTTTTATAAAAAATTATTTCTCTCACATAAACGCGCTTCCTATTATTTCATTGTTTTCCAGCTTTGCTTGGATGCTGTCCATTCCTGCAGGGCATTTTTCAGTTGGTGAACTTCGCGAATATAGTTTTTATTAGTCATGCCCGTGACTGCCAAGAATTTCCAGCTGACTTACCTTTGAAACCAATAATATTGTCAGTAGAGTGGTTCTTCCAAAAACAGGTTTTCATTGATTAGGCCGAGGGACCGTTACTTTTGAAAGATACGTTTTTTGATGTTCTGCTTCTTGCAGGGCTAGTCCTGCGTATTTTTTTTGAACTGACATCAACAACGCCCACACAGACATTATGACATTGAATGACATCAGTGCAAACAAATATATTTGCGTAAGAAGACTTTGGGTCTGGTCTTCGGCCACGACAGGAGTGTGGACATGCACTGGTGATGGGCTCTTAAGCCTTTCTTGGATCATTATTGCTTTCATATGTGAGCACTGTGGGCTCTAAAATTGTATCTCTAGAGTCAAGAAAACAAACCAGCAGAGATGCTGGTTGTACAGCACAACAGCTTAAACATTGCCCTCAAGAAGCCTGACATTGTGCATCATTGTGCATCCATGTTTTCTCAAAGTTGCTTTCAATGAACATGAATCTTGACTTGGTGCATCCACGTGCAACAATTTTTCCAGGCTATCTACTCCCCAACACTGGCCATCCTTCCATGGCGAGATGTGCACAGGTGGCCAAACTGGCAAAGTTGGCCGCCACAGGACCTGCGGCTCCTGGCCATGCGGCTCTTCAGCCGTCCATCCAACAGTGCCTGGGGCGGCTGCCGCAGCTGCAAGGTAGCGACGTGGTGGATCTCACCCGGAGCCTGGCAAGGCTTCGGTGGAGGGACGAGGCTACCTGGAAGGAGATTGGCAGCACCGTGACACAGAAAGTGGAGGAGATGAAAGTGGGGGAACTGGTCGAGGTGGCAGGGGCATTTTCTGTGGCCAGCCAGCCTGATGCGGAGATGCTGACGGCGGTGATGGGAAGAGTCAAGGCAGACCCTGCTAGCTTGACTTGCTGGTCTTGGGCAGGATTCTTTCTCTCGGTTTTGAGGGCAGGAGCAAAACCAGACCCGAAGCTGTTGAAGGCGGCAGCTGATGTGATGTTGACTGACTTGGGTTCTGTTGAGAGGCTCAAGACATCTTACATCATGGGATTTGTTGATGCGAGCCTCAAAGCTGGCTTCTTCCATGAAGGGATGTTCTGTTTGCTGTCACCAGTCTTGGTGGAGCGCATGGAGGTCATGAACAACCTTGACTTGTCGAGGGTTGCGCTGGCTTGGGGACAAGCAAGTTGCAAAGATGATGCGCTGTTGAAGTCCCTGTGCAAGGCAATTCGTGGCAATCTTGCGTCCTTTCCAAGGAACAGGATCTCGTACACAATTCATGGCCTTAGCTTGTTGGATTGCAAGGACGAACAGCTCCTGATGGAATTGGCTTCTGCTTGGGCCACCACACCTCCTGCTCGCTCCATCGAAGTGCTGCATGTCATTTTTGGATTGGCAAGGTCGGGAGCTCTGAACTCATCACTGTGCGATCAAATCGCGGCATGTAGCTTGCAGTGTGTGCCTCATTTCAATGCCAGGAGTATTGCAAGGATACTGTGGGCTTGTTCTCAGTCGGGATGTACACATGTGGAATTCCTTGAGTCACTTGGCAAGGCCGCAAGTCAAAAAACCACTGAATTTTCTGCCAAGGACCTCGCTGAGGTGTCATTAGCTGGTGCCAAGTTTTCACTTGCGCCGATTCTTGGAAGTTGCATCCCAGAAGCTGCTGTGGAACGTGTGTCAGACTTCAAGGGTTCAGAGCTGGCCCTGATGATGCATGGGGTCTCCGGGCTGTCAAACAATCCTGGTGAATATTTGCCTGCGCTGGAGCTTGCCACCTTGCGGCATGTGCCAACTCTGACGCCTTTCGGCCTGAAACAGATTTGTATGGCTTGAGCAAGGGCACGTGCTTCGGACCGCAGTTTGATGGATGCAGTCGCCTCGCGTGCCATTGAGATGGTAGACGGTTTGGACCCGCCCACCGCAAGCAGTGTTGCATGGGCATACTCTGAGCTGCAGTTCACTCATGTGGACTTGTTCAAAGCATTGGGTTTGCGGTGTGCAGCTACCGTCTCCTCTTTTACCACATCCCACCTTGGATACACTGCATTTGCATTTGTTCGTGCGGGGATCCATGATGACGTGCCTTTGATCAGCATCGCCAAGGAGGCCTTGAGGCGTTTGCAAAAGATGCAGCCTGTTCCTGGTTCGCTGTTTGCACGTGCCTTCATCCGCGCTGACTTGGAGTCGCCAAAGGTCAACATACTTTTGGAGGGCCTAGCTTCAATTGCGCGTGAGAAAGGATGGACACACTTGAGCCCCAAGCCCCAGTTTGAGCAGACTGATTTCCAGAAACAGTGCGCAGAAAGGATTCAAGACTTCCTTCCATCCATCCTGGTGAACCAACGTCACGAGATGGGCCCACTGCTCAGCCTGGTGCTGCCGCAAGGCGATGAACCTCACCTGAACTTGGAAGTGGATCCCCTGGACCTCCAGCTTTCCCGGTTGGACCGGGCAGCGCGCACTCGGCGCGATCAGTTCTTGGAGGACCTGGGTGTGCAGGTGTTGAGATTGAAGGTCAGGGACCAGGATGATTTGAGGTACCACCTGCTGCAGATCTTTGGACATCCCGCAGATCCCAGTGTGGATGACAGTCCGGAAGAGCTGCCAGCATCGGAGGTGGGGCCTCTGGATGAGGAGGCAGTGGCGATGTGTGGACATGTGTGGAATGAGATGGAACCCGGAAGAGTGCAGCATGAAAGCTTGCTGTAGACGATTTGACTTTTTGAAAATCTACAAGAAGGATTCCAGAGACCAGTTGAGCGGCTGGCAGTGGCTGGCAGGAAACGGAACATGTTTGAACTTTGCCAATCAACGCAGCACGTGTTTTTCTTGTTTGATAGGCTTTTCATTAAATCATTTATATATATATAGTAATTGTGTGTTTCAGTGAAGTCAGGATGGTCACTGGATCCCTACTAGTGACTAGCCAACAGGGCTGTCTTGGGGCTTTGGCTTTGTGACCACCATTGGAAGGGGTGGGCTGTGGCGGGGTAGGCCATGGCCGAAAAAGGTTGCCTGGCTGAGCAACCGCTGGTTTGAATGCTGACAGTTGCACTGCTACTGTTTGGATGCTGATGTTTGGACGTCAGTGTGATCATGTATGGATGGGCAATCTTTTGGCGGGTGTCTTGCATTTTTTTCAAGTCTTGTCATTGGCTTGGATGATCCCAAATATATCTAATTTAGGACCCATAGCGATCTGAAATGACTGAAACCGCGTTAAATAGTCCGATGAAACAATCAAAGTATGTGAAACGTTGGTTTTGACCTTTACCTTCGTCGTTCATTCCTGCCTTGCCTCACGGTGTGAGGTCATGGTAGTACGGTACAGGGCACGGTGCGGGGCTCGGCTGAGTGCTGGGGGGCATCACCTCACGGTTTTCACAATTATCCAATTGTTTTTTCCTTCAACATCTGGAGTTTTGGGTTTCCATGTCGAATTTAGCGGAAGTGGAACTTCCAGTGGAAAACCAGGTATATTGCGGAAGAAAAGTGCAAGGAAACATCCTAAAGTCAGGGAAGCAGGCTGTCCATGTGAGTAGTGACACCCTCAAAAATCAGTCAGGATGATGTAGAAAGCCATTGACACAAAATTAGTCAAATTTAGTGTGTTGAGAATGGTCACCAATATCACCAGTTCTGATCTTTCTCGTGGATGCATGTGGGCAAGCCTCCAACCAAATGTAGATCCGCATTGCGTTGCAATTCTGTAACTTCCATGCCAAGAAACTCAAGCAAGGGATTTTTACCGAACATCGAAAATGCTTGGAACTTAGATATTATTGGAATTAATTCAGCTTTGACCGTGCTTGAAATCCACAAACTGGAGCTTTGGTCATTTCACTGCCTGCCCGCGTTGGATTCTCCGTCCTGTCTGTCCATTTTGCAGCTCGGAACCGCAAAGCACCGCGCCGAGCTCGGCGGGCGGATCCGGTATGGGGCTGGGCCGCTAGAGAAGGTCAGGACGACGGCTGGGTTAGGACTCCATGGTGGCATCACATTTGTTTTTCAGGCAAAGTGAATGTCCTCTATAGATTCTGCCGAAATCCAGCTGCCAGGGTCGAGCCATGGACCGAAGTCGCAGTCGAAGTAGGAGAAGGCCAGCAGGGGGCATGAACCCAACAAGCGCCCGGAGATTTTCACAAACGAAAATGGGGATGAAATCCACAAAACATGAAAATAATGAAAAAACATGCAGACATGAATGGGTATATAATCAACAAAAAACACACACTTCTTTAAACAAACAACACTTTTGGCGTTTATCATCAAGGATTTAGCATGAACCCAATCATACATACCCAGTGACTGTCTCAGGTTATCACTTATATTCATATGTATATACACATCTCATTTGACACAGGAAATCATAGGTGTAATGATATGAACCAGATAACCGTCTTGGGTTCATCCCATTGGCCGAATACACACCGTGAATTCGCCAGTGGACCATCCACCGGCCTCTGCTCAGGGACAGCCGCCCGCGCGAGGAGCGCAAAGATAGCCGCAGGTGAACGGCTTCGGTGGTAACGGATGAGAGGTTGTTAGGTTGAGATAGGATGTGAACTGACGTGAATTACCCAAGGATTTCGACAAAGCAATTTGAGTTTATTGAAATAATTCAAAATATATGGGCATTTATGGGCATACTGTTACTTAATTGATTTATAAGTGGTTTTGGATGATTTTGGAAGGTTTTGTTCAGGAGATCAGCCATTGATTGGATCATTTGGAGTGTTCACCGTTGGTTTTCTACGCGTTTATAATTTCAGTACCAAGCAACGCGACCAGTCGCTTTAGCCCCAGTAAAAAAGGTAATAGTGGATGAGCCGCGTGGATCCGCATGGTATTTGATGTTAAAACCAGTGGAACCATGCAAACCAGTTTTCTGATTTAGATGGACCATCAAATGGAGGATGATATGGTCCATTATGGTCCGATTTTTTCAGAACTTCAATATGCACAACTGAAAACATGTTTGGCACGACCTGATGTTGCTCACCAACAGGAATAGGATGATCCCTGTCAGTTAGCAGTATGTAATTGATTTGTTTGGCTCATGTCTGTGGTTTGAGGTCAAAATCGCAGACTTCCAAACTGGTTACTGGAACGATAAGTTGTAACCAATTCAAAAAGGAACATATAGTTTCAATCCATTTCACCAAGGAAGATAAGGGAAATAATAGAGCACATGATACCTATTGAACTATTGGAATATGTTGAGGGTGTTGGGGTTGCGCCCTACCCATCATTGACAGTCCAAAGGCGGGACGACCGCAGCCGAAGTGCGAGCCAGGCCGGCAGATGGGCATGACATACCATGGTTTGACGCGGCTGCAATGTGAGGCTACACCGCTGTTTTGGCCCATGTTGGCCCAGGCCACATCCAGCAACTCATGGATGATAGAAAAGAATGTTCACTGGAACTGACATCATGGCACACCATGACTCTGTGGCCACGTTTGGTGGCTTTGGCGGGACAATCGGAAACCATATCTTTGTTCGCCTTTGTGGCACCCTATCCTTTTTTCTCCATGTTGGGACGACCACAGTCCCCGGTCAAAGATTTTGATTCCACCTTACATTTGTAACCGTCACAAACCATCAACTTGCAAATCTAGGTTTCACCAAAGGGCAAAATCGTGCAAAATCCAAACTGACTACAACTCAACAACCCAATGAAATACACTGACACACTGATATACTCTGTTTCCACGGCGCTGTCCTTCTGCCCCTGCAACCATGGACGCCACCTCGCCCGGTGCCCCCGGCGGGGACGCGGACGCTGCGCCCGAGAGCCTGCGCTCCAAGCTGTGGGCGGCAGTGGGGCAGAGCAAGGCTATCCGAACCAAAGAGATGCAGGCGCCAAAGGGCAGGAAATACGTTTTTGAAAATCAAGAAATAATTTATAATATATATATATATAATACATGTCAATTACATGTCAATACGATTCAGTAGGGTCAATCAATTTTTAAAGGGTTGTAAACGAGGGATTTTCAAATGCCATGTCTCGATATGGGGGGTGGGCCTAATTTACTTTATGACCTGCAAAGTATGAGGAACCATGATGGAATGAGGGTCCAAATCTTGAGACGACAACAAATGGGGATGGGCCCAAACCCTCGGTAGCAACGTCTATTGGGGAAACGACATTATTCATTTTACAGCTATTCCGATGTTCACCACGGTAGACGGGTTTTGATCGGTAGCCAAATGGTTTGGGTGAGGTTGCGAGTATAGACAGTATAGAATATTCATTTGTCATCAACATGATGTAAAATTGAGAAAACAACACGTAACCCAACTTGTCCAGAGAAAGTAAACCCTTCGTAGACACTTCCTAATATTTTGTTTTCCGCATTTGCCATGCATCATATTGCTGGAAGTTATTTCAAGCAGCCCCCACCATTCTTTCCAGGTGTTCCAACCACCCACTGGTGCCCCAACGCTTCAGGAGTCCTGTGCCTTCTACGACTGCGTTCGCAAGGATGCTCGGAAACTTCGCCCCGAAGTGGCAGCTCGGCTTGGGGGTCCTGGAGGCAGCAAGGGGTGTCCGGGAAATGACAAGAAGAGGCAGTGATGTAATAGCTGTTGTTTGGGGATTCTACCACCTATAAATTGGGGAAGCCTTAGGTAAGTAGTTTTCAAACATGAAATCACTGCTTAATAAAACCAAATTTTGGACCACAATATACATATCCAAATCAAAGTCAACATTCCTTGTCAAGAATATAAGCAGCATATTTTGTTTCCAGTCAAATCGTCCCCCAGATGTTAATTCCCATTTCTTAAGGTAGAGCACACCAGTTTTTTTTGCTGATACTCCATCCAATCCCAGCCCATTTTTCCCGGGGAGTTTGGCTATGATTCAAAACCCTGGTAGTTGTGGATATTCATCCCCCCAATTCATAATTATGGATTATATCATATTATACTATATCCCCATGTTTGGTGGTTAAACATGCTTAACCCCCAAAGTTGGATGATTAATACCACATTTCCATGGTGAACCCCCATTATTCATCCCCACAATGCCACCATTTTTCCTGGTTAGATCTCCATTTTTGTAGCTTTTTGTTGGTTGAGACCTGCCCATCCCCCCATCCCCCCGTCCCATCCCCCAGGTGGTGGACGTCTGCGGCGGCCACGGCGCCCTGGCGCTGCTCTTCCTGGCGCACGGCCAGGCGCAGCAGGCGACGATCATCGACCCGCAGCGGCCGGCGAGCCACGCCACACTGCGTCGCTTGGGTGGAGGGGGATGGAGGGGGTTGGGATGGGATGATGTTGATTAACATACTTTGACTATTCCATTGTTTTTCTATGTTTGATCATATTTTATCATAAACCAGTCTATCATAGTATGTCCCTAAGTCCCACAAGAATGAAGCAAGTGCTATCAAGTGCTTCTTGTCAAGTGGTGAGGCCAGACAACAACCGGACCCATTCGAGCGGGACACATGCCGTCAGCCGAGGTGAGGCATGGTCTTCCTTCGTCACCGGGCCGATTTCCTATGATCAGCGGCCCTTGCAGCAGGCTGCGAGCAACATCCACATTGGGCATGTTGGCGCGAAATCTTACTGTAGCCGATGCATTTTTTTTCTGATCTTTTCACTATTTTTCACTATTTCGACATTGACATACTATTGTTGAGATACATTTTATGCTATCCAATTTGTACTCTATATATGCGCATTTTTGAGACTTGTTCTTCTTCAGCACTGGTGTTGCTCGGCGCGGGAGGCCCTGCCAGAAGTTCTCAAGGGCAATTCCAAACGAATGCGGCTCAGCTTGGCGAGCAGGGCCTGCCTTGACGAACTGCTTGGTGGGGCAATAGTATTCAGCGAAGATGGAAGATGGCGCTATAAGCAGCATTTGGCATCATGAAACACCAATCATTTGTGATAAGCATCTACAAAACTGGGAACATAGTATCGTTTTGTGGTTTCAAATTGTTGTTTTCTGTCCCTCCTTGGGATCATTTGGTTTGTGTGGCCAGTAACCCGCAGCAAATATTCGAGGAACAACCTGAAGTTGAGCATACAATCTGATTGTCCTCAATTAAATGAGGAGGGCAGCAATCTCAAGTATCTTGTACTATGATTGTGGATCCAAGATCATGAAACCTCAGAAACTTAGTCACTTCGTCCATAGTTTAGAGAAGAAGATGACCAAACTCGATGCACCCACCGTGGTTTTGTGGCCATATGTGGCCATGGGTCTCGACATGTCTCGACCCATGGACCTGGGGAATCCCACCTGAACACCTCGTTATTGGGGCTGCAGGCTGGTGGTGGCCTGCCACGCATGTCAACACTTGGCGCGTGAGATCATCGATCACTGCATGGCGCACAACACGGCCTTCGCGGTGTGTCCATGCTGCCCCAAGGACCACCAAGGACGGCGACCGGGGTTTTGCTAAACGGAGACCCACAGGCAACAATGGCAGTCTTCCAGCCCCCAACACCTAATGGTCCTTGTTTCCATATGCTTCAATCTGTACTTCCACCCCGAAAAGAATGATCAAAATGGAGGTTTCATATGAATTTGCATGATTTTGTGTACCTTATCCCTTCAACAATCCACAAGCATCCCCCACTGGGCTCCCTTCCTTAGTTGAGGACATCTCCAGGCGGCCGCCAAGTCGTTGGAGGTGGAATTCCCTGCAGCCATGATCCTGGCGGTGGCGTGGCTAATGGGATGGCCTGGCGAGGTCAGTTCTGGAGGTGTCCTAAAATGGGGGTAGCACCAAATCATCCAACATTAGACCATTTTAGTATTGAAAGCCATGGTGACTTGGGGATCCCCCTGACTTAAGAACCCCCCATTGGGTTTGTCTGAGAATATGGCACAATTAAATATTAAATGTCCATTAAAATCACCATTCATATCATATCCCATCAGATGTAACCCATATAATATTTGGAATATTTGGACATATTTGGACCATCACTGAGCTGCTCAGGAGATGGGTCGCCTGACTGCGCAGCACTGCGCTTGTGCGCTGCGAAGCTTTGATGCCAAGGAAGGGCTGCAGGGAAAGTAGACGTGGTGAGTCACCGGAATGGGGTTATCATGTTATCATTCGGTTGAAACATGTTGAATATACTTATGAGAACTTCTAAGTAAGGTATCTTAAGGGTTTAGGTACCAATATTACCTATAGGATTATCAGGATCCTTATGATAATATAAGTGTGACTGACACGGAGTGCCAACCAGTCGGCAAAAATGGCAGCAGGTCTCGCCTCACAATCGGGTGATCTTCGGACGCCCGGGTGCCGGACCCCAAGAGGCAGCCGAGACTGGGCCAATTTCTTAAACGCATGAAAAGCTATGGCATACAAAAATATATGTGGACATTTGGGGGTACACGATGTTGAGTTGATGCATACTTAGATAAGAACGGGTTCGTCATTGTATTATGTCCAATTGGGCTTTTAGAGCTGTTCTGCATTTGAAGACTGCTCAAGCTTCAAAGAAAACACTGTTTTGGTTGGATCTTAGTTGCCTTCCACAAATTTCAACAAATGAGAATCCAAGTCTGTAGCGCGAATCTCAAAAATGAAGAGCATTGTTTGCACTTCGAAAAGCTCAGCATAGTGGAAGACCAGCGATGGGTCGGTGATAGGTCGTGTGATGGAGCGTTTGGGAAGCTGACCACATATGATTTTCGTATGTTTCATATGTTTCACGTTACGTTCAAAAAGAAAACATCAGCAAAAGAGACTATATAGGCAACTTGGTAGTTTTGTCTCCAACGCCCGGAACCCCTCAACTCCAACTCATGGTCAGTGGCGTCGGAAACCGGTGCATGATGAGTCATTGAATCCAATATATTATCTTATATTATTATATCAGATTAAAACCCAGCCATCAGTTGGGCAAGCTGCCAGGCATCAGGAGAAGCAGAGGAGAAGCTGCGCCGTGCATATGCAATCTGGCTGCGGACTTCGGAGAGTTGTGGGTTGGAAACGGGTCTGAAAATGGGGATGGGAACTATGCAATGGCACTTTTAATGGGGAAAATGATGATCAACTCAGCAAGTCAGTACATCTTCCAACCTTGGCAAAAGACAATGATTGACTGACGCACATCCAAATTCAAGGCTCTTGAGCTTCGCCTCTTTGTACAACCGTAAATTGTGGGGAAACTGAGCCAAGCAACAACCCGCAACTGGGGGATTGGTTCCACACATGGTCTATTTTATCTCTTTCGTGTATTGTCTGTATTTTATACATGAACATGCACAATGCCACCTTGCACATGGTTTCCGGTCACCATCAAATTCAGCCCATTTTTCCACTGCTTGGCCAAGGCCCGAGCACATCATCCTGGCTCAGCGGATGGGCGACGCTTGCCATGAATCCATTTGTGGTAGACCAACTTCTGGCTGGCACAATGCTTATTGTCATCACCATCATCAAAAATAGTAAAGGCCGTCATCGCATCGCTGACTACGATGACTACGATGACTACGATGACTACGATGACTACGATGACTACGATGACTATGATGACTATGATGACTATGATGACTGATACTGATACTGATACTGATACTGGTACTGATACTGATACTGATACTGATGATGATACTGATACTGATACTGATACTGATACTGATGATGATGATGATGATGACGACGACGGCGACGACGAGGATGATGATGAAACTAACGTTCACTGGATGACGACAAACACCATCATCACCCATCAGAAAGCAATCACTTCACACGGCATCGTACTGAGGTGCCGCGGGTCTTTGGTCCAGCGCAGAAGCCGTGGCTACAGCTGCAGCTGGAATCGATGCCGGACCGGAGGAATTGAAGCAGAAGGAGCAAGCGGTGCTGGGGCGCCCAGAACATTGGTTGATAGTTTCATTGTGGCTTCAATCACTGGGGATGCTGCCCGAAAACGGGGAGTTTGCTACAGACTTGCTACCAAAAACTCAGGGAAACATGTAAATGATCTAGCGAATTTCTAGAACTTTATAGAACTTTGCTGAAGGTGCAAGACCTGATTCACCCTTTGGCGCAGAAAATTTGCCAAAGCTTTGCTTCGGGTCTCCTTCTGGTTGCCAGCACTAAATCATACTAAATCTGATTTTGGCCTTTCTAAGCAGAAAAACTTACACAATAGGGCATTCTCTTTGATTTCATTCACCAAAATTTGGATTTACCTGGGATTTGTTTCCGCTAGAAGAAGGGTTTTAATTTAAGATCCGTCAAACACAACGACGGGGATTTCTTCCAACCAAACCCAGTTTAATTGGCTACATCCACCATTCAATTGGCTTACGTCCAGGTCCCTGCTGTTTCAGCGTTTTTCTGTGCCATTCCACATCGTTGTGCTTGCGTGGACCCTACCTTTTTTTTTTTCTTTTCTTCATTGTACAGTGGTTGGCCAATATGGTATCCTCATCGATAACTATTGTTTCATGCACAATTTCCCATGGTTTTACCCAGTTTTCTGTTGACTTTCGTTGGGCCCGAACTGAGGCGTGAACTGCTTTCTCCCGTGACGGGTCAAGACATTTGGGAACGGCTGGCGCCTTGGATTGCAAACCAAGCATGGCAACGATGTCCTACCAATTTCGCAGAAAATTCATTGGGATTACACACATTTACACACTGCGACATTGGTCACAAGTTCATGTGGTCATGTGGTAAGCGCATGGTAACTCACGGGGAAACTACCATCTGGTTATGACTAACAGTTCGCCATGGAGAATCACCATGCTATTAATAGGTAAAGCATCTATAAATGGGCCATTTTCCATGGCTATGTTAAATAACCAGAGGGTAAACCATACATGTTTTTCAATTATTATTGAGGGATTTTGTAAACTTGTCAGATTTGGTAATTGTTCACCAGCAGCAATGAGGGTGTATGTATGGGGATATTGTAAGCGAATGGACGGGAGACACCAAAAGGGCCAAGGCTGAACAGATCTCAAGGTGGTCACCACTAATCAATTTTCATCATTTTTTTCCACTTGTGAGCTAGTTTTGAATATCAAGATATGATATATTTCAAAAAGTATCATAGGTTGCCAACTATATCACCATTGATAATATAATATATGATATATTTCACAAAGTATCATAAATTACCAACTATCTCACCAGGTGAGTCTCACCATGACCCCATGACTTAATTTTTTCTGCCTGTCGTATCTATGCGACACCCGCAACCAGCCCCAGGAGGTGCGCGAATCTCCACGACGTCATTTTCGGGCCAGGACGGTGGTGGCGGTGGCGCGGCTGAACATCACGCGAAATGCTGCGTAGATCTGCGTGGCGCATGACTTTTCTTACAATTTTTTAGATATTGACTATTATGTATTATGTTAAGTATTGTTAAGTATAGATTATACCCCAAATTATACACACATGACTTGGTTTTTACTGAAACATGTCTTCATGTTTTGCCGCTTATATATAGGGAAAGGAAAGTGGGTCTATGGACAGACATGTCCCAAATTGATCTCAGCGTGGTGTCCCCATCCCCATTTTTGAGTGTTCAAACTTTTTTCAAACTGCCCGCCCATTCGAGTTTGCTTCATTGGGGAAGTGGTGACTTCGTTCACAGAGCCTTTTTATATTGGCTGTCATACTACTCGACCACGTAAGAAATGCAGACAGATCAATACAGATTTGTGTGTGCGTGTGTCGATGATGGGTAAGCTTGTGACATCATTTCTTTGCATTCTGTTTGGACAGCACATGTGTTTGCCCAACCTCTGCACTTATTTTTTCCACAGTCGCGGCTTCAATACTGTCACTGTCACTATATCACCATATGTTCGAAATTACTGTCATTTGTCATTATATTATACCGAAAGAAATAAGACAGCGACATAATCATTGGAAATCATTGGGGGATCCAGAGGCAGCATGACCAAAACGTAGAACATCAGTTCATCAGTTGGAGTTTTTTTTTTTGATCGCCTATGTTTGCTCATCTTCTGAGTCTATACCATTTCTATACATTCATATTACATTACGTTCCGTTTTGCAAAATGTGTTGCCCCTGGCCCCTGGCTGTTTTTGGATGGGCCCCATCGATCACGACACCACCGACCTCGGCTTTTTTCTCCGCCACTTCCAAGGTGGGTGCCCCGAACACGGCCAACTTGTCGCCTGAGGAGAGTGGCGGTCTCTTCAGGCGGCCCTGATGATGGTCACCCGCCAACAAGAGAAACATCTAACGCCAAACAATGGGAACACGGCCGAAAATAAACCGGGATAGCATCAATCTAAAGGAGTTGCAGTTGGTGGTTCTAATACCATCTAATTAATACATTCTATATAATTATTTCTAATTAATACTTGATGTGTTCCATCCAGCCAGAGGGGTGGTGAACCCCAATCGGCCACATTTTTTGAGAGGGATTGTGTGAACCAAGATCGATTTGCCTCGATGCAAGCCAGAAAACCTAAGGGTGAAGGACAGTAAAACCCACAGAGCATAGACGCGGACAGGCATATCTGAAATACACAATAGATCATACAAGTCTTTGATTGAAACCACGGGCATCAGTAGATTTGACATATTCTTCAGAGCACACCCTTTTAATAAATTTCAAATTCTCCTCAGCCATAGAAGTTGCTTTTGGTCAAATTTTGAAATCTCTTGTCCCAATGGGGTTCCTTTGGTAAATCCGCGGGAGGTTTGTTCCAACTTCCAGTGGCTACCAGCTGCAGTCGACAATTCCCACGGAGCGGGCGGATGTGATTCTGGACATCGAACCATGGAGTGGTTCTGTATGTATCCTCGTATATACGTAATTATATATAGAGATTAATTACATTATATATATGGTTATGTGTATGTAGATGTAGACGTATTATTCCACGTTGTACCTATTCAGATGAAAAAACCAGTGTACAGCACCATCTCTACTATACCTAAGACATCCCAAGACCTTTGGGAGAACAAGTTCAAAAGGATCCACCAGGGTAGCATGATCCGTCACGGCTCGACCGATAGAACTGGTGTGAATTTTTAAAGGGGTGGCTCCAAGACGAAAAAAAAGGTCCTCAGGTCAGGTCGACATTTTGACCCTAAAACGCCGTGAGATCTAAGGTCATCATGTCGGAGTTTGATAGATTTGCGAGGTTTCCCTGAAAATTCATCCATGTCTGTAGGATAGTATATCAGCACCACGGATGCATTGAACGGAGTCAGGGGAAGGGGTTTGGACATGTCTGGACTGTTTGTCCCCCTCTGTGGAGAGTCTGGGACTGATCCTGGGACTGGACTCACGACTCTATTTATCGATGATTTCCACTCCCTTTTGAACATAGAATCACCTTCTCACCAGACGACGATTGTTGTTCAATCATCTGGCAGATGATCTATGTGATTTGCATTTATATTTGTTTTCTTGTTGGAATGTGGGCATTCTTCAACACCAAACACTTCCTAAGTCAGCAGCCTTGCTAGGTTTGGCTTGGTTATCTTGCAGCATTGCAGTCCATCATAGACCATCATGTGATGTTTCATGTCGACAGATACCAGGAGACCTTGCTGCCGCAGATAGCGGCTGCTCTGCCAGCCCTGGCGCAATTGCTGAGCCTTGGATTTCGATGGATTTTCTTGGATCTGATGGATCTATAATTCGTATGCAAAAACCGAGCCAATTTAATAGGTTTCAACCAACAAAATGGGATTCAACCAGTAAACATGGATAAACAGATATAAACAGTGGATATTTGGGTTTGGTCCAAAAAATATGGGGGACGCGAACATTGGATGAACTGCGAATGTTCAGGAAATTCATCCTGATGGCCGAAACAATCTTAATTAATGTCTTTTTGTTCGAACACGTACAATACAATTCATGGATAGTGTCAGAGCGGGGCAGACGTTTTAATACTTTTTGATTGTCCAGGTAAGCGAGTCCGATTTTGTACCCTTTCAAAATTGCTACTCAAAGGGCATTGTGTGGGAGAAACCAGTTCCATGTAGATAGAGGAGCATCCACTAACTAGAGGATAATCACAGATTTACCAATAATTTACAGAGATCATCATATGATGATCATCGGTTTTTTTTAGATCCTGAAAAAGACTCACAGGTCCATGAAATTTTGTCACTGTCAAGTATCAATTATGTACACCAGTGACAGTGACAATATTTGATGGATATTTGATGGATATTTGATGGATATTGATGGATATTGATGGATATTGATGGATATTGATGGATATTTGATGGATATTTGATGGATATTTGATGGATATTTGATGGATATTGATGGATATTGATGGATATT